CCTCTATATTACAGTTTTGTATAACTTACTTTGTAACTGAACAACAACGCCCTCTATATTACAGTTTTGTATAACTTACTTTGTAACTGAACAACAACGCTCTCTAAATTACAGTTTTCAAGAGGGGCGGGATGAAAACTATCGAAATGATTTTTATCTTCATTGTGTTCATTTGTACTTGATCTAAACATACATATAGGGACTTCGGGCGTACATCCGCGATCCACCCTCCCTTCCACCCCCACGAAGTGAGCCACGTTTTGTCCGAGTTTGGTTACAAGTAGAGACAGGAGGGACGAGAGAGAACCAAGAAACTCGTTATGGCGGATCAGTAATTTTTCAAATATCTGGGTCAACGAGCAGAAAGGGCGATGCACCCACCCCCACCCCCACCTGCGCAGGAAAATATTTACCGTGACCTTGAGTGCCAAAATTAGACATAAATCAGAAACTGGTCTAGACTTCACTCTTTTCTGTCTTGGAATAGAAAGAAGGAGAGAAACAACACGACATTTCAGGTGAAAATAAAAGACTGAACAAAATAAGCAAATTTATACAGAACAAACAATAGCACAGTCTATTAAATACAGAACAAACAGTAACAGAGTCTATTACATACAGAACAAACAATAGCACAGTCTATTACATACAGAACAAACAGTAACAGAGTCTATCAAATACAGAACAAACAGTAACAGAGTCTATTACATACAGAACAAACAATAGCACAGTCTATTACATACAGAACAAACAGTAACAGAGTCTATCAAATACAGAACAAACAGTAACAGAGTCTATTACATACAGAACAAACAGTAACAGAGTCTATTACATACAGAACAAACAATAGCACAGTCTATTACATACAGAACAAACAGTAACAGAGTCTATTACATACAGAACAAACAGTAACAGAGTCTATTAAATACAGAACAAACAGTAACAGAGTCTATTACATACAGAACAAACAGTAACAGAGTCTATTAAATACAGAACAAACAGTAACAGAGTCTATTACATACAGAACAAACAATAGCACAGTCTATTACATACAGAACAAACAATAGCACAGTCTATTACATACAGAACAAACAGTAACAGAGACTCTGTTATTGTTTGTTCTGTATGTAATAGACTCTGTTACTGTTTGTTCTGTATGTAATAGACTTCTGTATGTAATAGACTCTGTTACTGTTTGTTCTGTATGTAATAGACTCTGTTACTGTTTGTTCTGTATGTAATTTTGTTCTGTATGTAATAGACTGTGTTACTGTTTGTAGTAACACAGTCTATTACATACAGAACGAACAGTATCAGAGTATACTTCATACAGAACAAACAGTAACACAGTCTATTACATACAGAACAAACAATAACACTCTATTACATAATGAACGAACAGTAACACAGTCTATTACTTACAGAACGAACAATAAGTTGACTACCGAACGAAAACACACGCACACATAGCAGTAATGAAGTCGGATATTAAAATCGTTTAATGGGGTAGACTTTGATACGAGTAAATTCTGATTTTTTTTTAAATCTGAACTAATTAACCTAGCAAGTCAACAGTTTCATGTCATGACCATCTTCGAACTAATATCTTCAGCTTAGCTGGGTCAATGACAGTCTATGGGTCAATGACAGTTCAAAGTCCAAAATGTAGCTAAATACATCTGTAGGTTTAGGTTATTTTGTGTGCGTATAATATATTCAACTTCTTGCCAGTGTTATTAATCACTCCAGTGTTCTAACTTAAGTAATAACAAGTACACACATAAAATATAAAAACAAACAGATTATTAGACATCTAAATGTGCTAATTAATTAATGTTATTGATAGCTAGCGTGACGTAAGCTAGGCTTCTTTAAAATAGGAAACACAAGCAAATGTCCTGAAACTTCTAAAAGAAGTAAGGCATGGTTGAAACCTTATCAAAAGTACAGTATTGGTTGCCAACATAAGCCTGTAACATATATTCCTTAGGCCTACTGGGGAAGAAATATTCTTTTAGAAGGAAGGCATGGTTGAAACTTTATCAAAAGTACAGTATTGGTTGCCAACATAAGCCTGTAACATATATTCGTTAGGCCTACTGGGGAAGAAAAGTATTCTTTTAGAAGGAAGGCATGGTTGAAACCTTATCAAAAGTACAGTTTGGTTGCCAACATAAGCCTGTAACATATATTCGTTAGGCCTACTGGGGAAGAAAAGTATTCTTTTAGAAGGAAGGCATGGTTGAAACCTTATCAAAAGTACAGTTTGGTTGCCAACATAAGTCTGTAACATATATTCGTTAGGCCTACTGGGGAAGAAAAGTATTCATAGGAAAATTAAAGTTGCCGTGAGATCTAGCTCCTGCTTCTGGAATCATTAACTTGAAATCACCTGAACACTTAACTTATAAAAGCTAATTACAAACGTCTAGTAAATTAGTATGTAAATAAGTTTTATTTTAGTAAAACGCCACTTACAGAACACATAAGTCAAGAAAAACCGACATTTTAAAAAGCTGTCTCTTGTGATGTTTAATGATATGATCATAAACAACTTTAATTGTTTACTGTCATATGTAAACAACAAAATCCACAAAAACCTTAATAGAGTTGCAGTTTTCTGGAATAGCAATAATACAAATAACCCGCCTCTGGGAATCACCAGAATGAATCAAAGATCTGGAATAAAAAAATATTGCACTATGGTAAATTTTGGCAAGGGCTGGAATAAAGAACCATTACTCCTATGGTAAATGTTGTCAAGGGCTGGAATAAAGAACCATTACTCCTGTGGTAAATGTTGGCTAGGGCGGGAATATAGAAACATTGCCCCTATGATAAATGTTGGCAAGGGCAGGAATAAATGAACGTTGCCCCTGCGATAAATGTTGGCAAGGGCAGGAATATAGAAACATTGCCCATATGGTAAATGTTGGCAAGGGCAGGAATATAGAAACATTGCCCATATGGTAAATGTTGGCAAGGGCAGGAATAAAGGAACGTTGCCCCTGTGATAAATTTTGGCAAGGGCTGGAATAAAGAACCATTACTCCTATGGTAAATGTTGGCAAGGGCAGGAATAAAAAAAACATTGCCCATATGGTAAATGTTGGCAAAAGGCAGGAATAAAGAAACATTGCTCGTATGGTAAATGTTGGGCAATACAATATCCCAAGTGTATTGAATTAGTGAGATAACCAGGTAGTTAGAGTTATAACCTTTTAACTCGGTTGGATAAATAAATGCTCATTTGATGTGCGAAAAATATCGGATTCGATCCCAGGAGCTGCAGATACGGATTTACAAGACTATTTGTCAGTGACCTAATATAAATAAACCTAACGTATAGAATACTCTTAAGAATAGCATTACTTTCAAAGTCTGAATTACCTGAGGTGGTACTGTGTCTTGGTAAGATCTGAATTAAACTGTTTACCTGAGGTGGTACTGTGTCTTGGTAAAGTCTGAATTAAATTGTTTACCTGAGGTGGTATGGTATCTTAGTAAGATCTGAATTAAACTATTTACCTGAAGTGGTACTGTGTCTTGGTAAAGTCTGAATTAAATTGTTTACCTGAGGTGGTATGGTATCTTGGTAAGATCTGAATTAAACTGTTTACCTGAGGTGGTATGGTATCTTGGTAAGATCTGAATTAAACTGTTTACCTGAAGTGGAACGGTATCTTGGTAAAGTCTGAATTAAACTGTTTACCTGAAGTGGAACGGTATCTTGGCAAGGTCTGAATTAAACTGTTTACCTGAGGTGGAACGGTATCTTGGTAAGGTCTGAATTAAACTGTTTACCTGAGGTGGAACGGTATCCTGTTAAAGTGTGAATTAAAATGTTTACCTGAGGTGGTATGGTATCTTGGTTTTGACTCATCGTTACTCAGAGGTCCACTGCTGCTGTCCACGTCTGACACGCCACTGTCCGCTGGACTTGGAGGTAAAGATCCTGCAGACGAGAGTAAACACGTTTTACTTTACAAGCGAAGCCCCCCAGGAGGAGTCAAAGTAATCCTTAATTTCAACCTATTGCTTTGCTAATGTTTTTGGTAATTATTATTATACATTTTACATTATACTAGATATATTTTATTTTTAGCAAGCTCTCCTTAACCTAACATGTTTACGTTTTTCGTTCTCGTGAACGATAATATGTAGGAACACCGAAGTATAAATACTAGTTGTCATGTCGCAGGGTCCCCGAAAGTGTTCTGTTTCAAGAGTAAATAAAACCCAAACTGAGAGCAACAAGTATTTCTATTTCTTGCTTTTGAAGTTCATATGTCATGCTGTGTTTTAGCCATAATTCTTCTCGTGATTCATGGCATGCGCACTCTTTACTGATGTCATGACAGTACAAATTGCAACGTTAAGCGTCCCTTATGTGACGTCATTTTAGTGACGTCTGCTGAATGACTGACAGACAACAGACTACTCTAGTATGGTGCGAGTGATTAAAACAGGTGACCCCCTCCCGACGGCCTTCGGCCCCTTTCGGGAAAATGAATTTTAATTACTTTAGAAATTGACTTTAAAGTAACTACTTTTTTTCTTCTGATTTTTATCACAGAAGAGTGGCCATTGAAACTACGAAACTCGTATTACGGACTTTACATTTTCTTCTCTGTCATTCTTCTCGAAGAAAACTTTCAATGTCAGTTTATCTCCCTTAATGAGGATATAAGAAAAGCCTACATTAATTAAGTTGTCTGTGAATGGCTTGCTGTCCATTGTGATGGTCAGATTGTTGTTTTAAAAATATTTCAACACGTTCTGAAATTCACAGGCCGTCAAATTTAGAACAGTGCATTAAACAGGATAAAAAAAATTGAAATATTTTACTTTGTAGTCGATGAAGTTAAATAATTCAACATGACAAAAAATGAAAGTTCAAACACACACTATATTCAAGTCCATTTGAGTATTTGAATTTAAAAAAAATATATGATGTGTTGCGTCATCGAGATCACGTGACTATTCTCACGCCCTCTAGTTTCTAGAACTATCTTGTTCCTTTACGAATGCCCTAGCATTTACTAGATAGGGTAGTCTGGTATATATAAGAGGGTGACAACGTGACG